GATAAGATTCCTGTTCAGTTTCTTTTTCTTCTTCTTGTTATCTTTCTTCTTTTCTTGTGTGTGTGCTAATCAAACCAAACCTGAGATGAGTTCTTCAGTTTATTCTTCTTTGAATCAGTTGGTTGTCATCAATGAAAAGTTTTTGAATTTTGATGAGATGCTTAAGATTGGTTTCAACTTCTGGGAGACTATGTCTAAACAAAGGTGGAGTGGCTACTTTGAGATGCTCTGTGTTTCACTTATCTAAGTCTTGTCAAAGAGTTTTGGATTAATACCTTTATTGTTGAGCTGAATTCTGAGTATGCTATTTTGTCTAGAGTAACTGGTGTTCCTATTACAGTAACCTCTAAGGTAATTTCAAATGTGATCAATTGTGAAGAAATTGGACAAATTCCAGGAACTCTTGTTTGGGAACACTATCTTCCTACTTTGCGTATCTTTGTAGATCCATCTAATACATCAGTGTTTCTAATCTTCTTCCTGATGTTGTTGTTTGGAGTCATATTTTGAATTCAAACTTACTGCCTAAGGATAAAGATTTAAACCAAGTAAACCCTATTGAAAAACATCTGCTTCTACTTCTTAATTCAGATTTGAAGATTGATCTTCCTCAAGTTATGTTTGACCATCTGAAGAGGTCTCCTTCTTCTTTTAAAAAAGGAAATGCCTTCTCCATACCTCTTGGACAAGTTATTTCTGAAATGCTTGTTCAGCAGTAGGTTAACATAAATTCTGAGGCTAGTTCTTCCAAGATTTGGAGAGACAAGTTTGAAGTTATCTATGAAAGATTATGATGTTAGATTTTTGCATAGTTATGTCTTGTATTGTTGATGAAATCTCTGTATTAAATATCTTATTAATGAACTCAAATTTTGTTCATGCTTGTGTTCAGTTTAAACTGATTAATATTTACTCATGTTGTTCACTGAGAATCTGAAATAGATAAAAGAACTCAAATTTTTTGCAACTTATTATATTACCGAAAAAGGAATCTATTACAAGACAATTAGATTTTTTTCTAGTCTAATGGATGTATCCTAAGAAACTCCCTAGGATCATCTAACATGTCTAGATTGTCTAAGAAATCTTTCCATTCTTCCTTAGCAAACTCTAAAGCCTCCTTCCTCAGTTTGTTTCTGCATTTGGATCCAGAAGACTTCTTTCTTCTGAGTGTCTTCACAAAAGATGCTAAAGAGGAGAGCATTTATGAAGCTGTCTGTTTGCTTGTAGGTTCTTCAGTTGGTGTCTTGCTTTGATTTGCTTGAGTTGTTGCACTCATTAATGTTGCCTTCCTGAAATATCTCTTTGGAACTCATATATGCTTCTGCTTATACATCTTGGTGTTTTATGGATTAAGTGATGATGGAAGAAAGCTTACTTTAGTCTTTTTATAGACGTATTACATTTATTGTCTTGAGTTTAATATTATTTAAGTACTGATTAAATCAACATTTTAATAATAAATCTTGGTAATGTAATCTAATCTATTAAGATTCTCTGAATGTGTGAGTCTATGATTGATTTGTTCTAATTGTCGTTTATGTGTCAGTTTTACTTTATTAAGTGTACCTTCAGAAAATATAAAGAAAAGTTCTGAAATGTAAATGTGCGATAAAGAAGTATTGGTCTAAAAAACTTTTCATTAATTAAATGAGGAGTACAACATTTTTAACAACAAAAAAGAGGGGTACAAGATGATGTCTATAATTCTTCCCTAGCCATTGCATCACGTGCCCAGCAGCGTCCGCTGTTGTTATAGTCTACCTCCTCGTCCTCTGAATCAATCACTTATTCCTCTTCTATATTTGGAAAAGAGCGGTAGAACAACTTGTTGACCCTTCTTTTCTTCTTCCTTGATCTCTTCATGCTTCTTCTTTGAGGCTTCAAGGTAGATACTACTGAACCGCTTTCTGAAGGTCGTTCAGGTGCAGCTGAAGTAGCTTCTTCAGAAGCAAATTGTGTTGAGAACAGATGTACGGTTGTATAGGACTTAGAAGCAGCTAACCTCTGAGGGGATAGGATAGCTAAACTTGTAGAGCTCTCGGTTGCTTATGTTACGACAGATGCATTATGACTTTCAATTGCTGATGCCATATCCTTAGGTTGGTGATTGATGAAAATGACTTAGGAGTGGAATATTTTTATAATGACTTCTGTGGATATCAAGCGTCTAAAATTAATCCTTGTTTAATTCTTGAAACAGTAATGACCACTAAGACTTCAATGCGTGCACTTTACAAACCTTAATGACTCTTATTACTTGATTACTCTTCCTTCTTGGAAACTGATCTTGTAATGATGATTTGAGTTACATTTATTAGTGATATTCTTTTTCTCTTTTCTTTTTATTATATTTGATATGACAATAGGGAGAGAAATAATAGTAAGTATTTAAGTGAAAACTGAACCCATTGAATACATATTGGTCATATATTTTCTCATTTATTTTTTGTTACTTGCCTAGGATGCATTTTGACTTTCTTGTACATAGGTCTAAGTATGAGCATACAAATCTCAGACTAAAAACTACAAGCTCTCTCTCTCTCTCTCTCTCTCTCTCTCTCTCTCTCTCTCTCTCTCTCTCTCTCTCTCTCTCTCTCTCTCTCTCTCTCTCTCTCTCTCTCTCTCTCTCTCTCTCTCTCTCTCTCTCTCTCTCTCTCTCTCTCTCTCTCTCTCTCTCTCTCTCTCTCTCTCTCTCTCTCTCTCTCTATATATATATATATATATATATATATATATATATATATATATATATATATATATATATATATATATATATATATATATATATATATATATATATATATATATATATATATATATATATATATATATATATATATATATATATATATATATATATATATATATATATATATATATATATATATATATATATATATATATATATATATATATATATATATATATATATATATATATATATATATATATATATATATATATATATATATATATGAAGTAGTTCATTGAAGGGTTAGAATAAATTTTTGTTAAGATAATAAGTTAATATAAATGAAAAAAAAAGTTACAAGTTAAAACCTACTGGTTCAAAAACTATTTTAAATAGTTTAAAAAAAAAATTAAAAGTGAGTAAAAAAGATACAAACTAAAATCTAAAAGAAATGTATTTTTTTATTGATGTGAATTGAAAAGCTAAAAGTTAAAAGCTTATTGGATCTTATCAAAAAGACTCTATAAGTGAAAAGAGTTTTAATACTCAAAAGTTTTGTAAGATTGACTAAATTTAAGAACATATAATACGTGCGCACACACGCACCTGCGTGCGCACAAACACGCACGTGCACATACACACACGCACACACCCATACAGACGTGTGCGCACACTCTCTCACACACACACAAACACACACACAGACACACACACACACATGCGCGCGCATACATACACACAAACAAACACACAGATACACGTGCACGCGCACACACGCACACACAAACAAAAAAAGCAAGAAAATATTATATTCGATTATACCACTTTATTTCCATGGTATACAACTTATCCCACGTTTTTGGTGAAAGAAGCACGTAGGCCATGATACAACCACAAAAGACTGAAAGTAGTTGGCTGATAAAATTGATAATGATCATGAGTGTGTACATGAAGTATGAACATATTATTCTGTATTTTTTTCAACATTTATCTTAAAGAGCAACATATTTTGAGCACTCTAAACACATTGTAGTTGTGTAATATTTTTCCAATGCCTCTTCCTCTGGTTTCAATGAACCACGTCTCGTTTGTTTGTAGGAGTGTGCAAGAATCTGTGAAATTCTATGAAAATGTCCTCGGATTTGTCCTTGTTAAGAGGCCATCTTCCTTCAATTTTCAAGGAGCTTGGTAACTTTTTAACTACTCTTTTATACGCCATGTTTGTTGAATAAACAACTTAATTAAACGCGTTTGTAGTATAAGTGTTTATCATTTCGGATAATAATAATATGGATATATTGAATAGGTTATTCAATTATGGCATTGGCATTCACCTACTAGAGTCAGATAAAGTTCCAGTGAAAAGAGGAGAGATCAACCCGAAAGAAAATCATATTTCGTTTCAGTGTTTAGACATGAAGATTATAATGAAGAAGCTTGATACACTGAAGATTGAATATGTGACAGCAGTTGTGGAAGATGGTGGAATTAAAGTTGATCAACTCTTCTTTCATGATCCAGATGGTTATATGATTGAAATATGCAATTGCCAAAATCTACCTGTACTTCCTATTTCAACCAATAGAAAAACTCAAGCACCACACCTTTCTGCAGAAGATGCTTTGTTGATGATGGAGAAAGAAGATGCTTTGTTGATGATGGAGAAATTGATGATAGATTTGTTAAGGATTTCAATATGAAGATTTTCTTGGGATTCACATAATTTCCATTATCATTTTGTACAAAATTTGTGTGAAAGCATTTTTATCTAAATAAAAGAGTATCAAAGCATGTTTTTTAAAACATGACATGACAGCAACATCAATGCTTGTTTAAGTTTTTAAAATTCTTCTTTCCCTAACAAGATTCAGATTCTTAAAATCTATTTATTTTACAATTTATGCAATCAACATCAGCAATTATGTTGATGCTTTAACTTTACAAAAATGCCCCACTTAACCGAGCTTACTAAGGCATATTGCAAGTGTCTTTTTTAATTAAAAATTCATTAGGCATTTGTCACTGCACTTTCAGCATGTTGACAAAGAAAAAGGGAAACAAAACAAACACTCAACTAGAAACTAAGGATAAGTAAATTAAAGTTATCAGGAGCTTATGAATGTTTCTAAGATCCAAATTTTGGCACATTCAAATCCACCAGAATGTGGTCACATCTATCTAACTAACTTGAGAGGAAATAAAAACTAACAAAGTACATTGTCATGATTCTATAAAGGGCAAGGACCCAACTACAACGTACGCTAGGTGGGGATGGTCTTCAATTCTACTCGCAAATCATCAAGAATTAGGCACCACGGGACATTTTCATCCTTGGCATTGACTTTTTCATTTGGCGAGCACGTTCCTTTGCTTCTTTCTTTCGAATGGCCTCTGCACCGAGCTTTGCCTCAGCCTCCTCCAACATCTTTTTCCTCTCCGCCTTTCTTCTTTGCATGGCCTCTTGTTGGATGTTTCGAAGTTCTTTTTGTACCTCTTGAGCAACCTTTTGCCGTGCAGTCTCTGTCTTAGACCGAGCCTGGATTATATGTTATGCACACGAGTTAGTAAAGGACCGAGCAAAAGATGTTCACAAATTACTTCAGCAAGGTGTAAATTGGTAATTCGATAGATCAATATAACCTACCAGAGAACTCAATTTATATCTCCCAATCAAGTCAATATAATATGGAACAAGAGCCACCAGTCGAGTCATATCAGCCATATTTTTAGCAGCTGGAAGAACAAACTTGAACAGCAGCACTTTCTTGTGGATGCCAGGGTGATTGTCAGAGAAATGCACTGAAATTAATCCTTTTCCAAATTTCTCAAAAGCCTTGTCACCAAAAACCTGCAGTATATAAAAAATAGCTGATTTTGAGTCCAAGAACAAACTTTAATTCCAATAAAATAAGAACCATGCCAATCATCCAAGAAATTTTCCATAACAAACTTGAAACTTCACATAACCTTGTAAATGAGCGAGTGCGCTAAATGAAGACAATAGTAATGAAATACTTATTAATAAATTGAAACATTTGTGCATGTCTAGTTCACAGATCTAACATAAAGAGAATATGTAACAAACAAACACTACCAGAGGAATAAAAAATTAGAACAATGAAGAAGGATACTGAAGTTATATAAAAGAAACAACCACATAAGGGGGGTGTCAAGAGGTTAGAGGAGCTTATATGAACTTGTCTTGTGACATAACCACTATTCCAAGTGTTTCAAAGAGTCAAGAAAGATAGTGTATGATCTATCCACAATTGGCTCCCTCCTTGTGATAGCATTTAGAAACAGTTCCTCTGGAACTTACCCTTATCCCTCTTCAATTTCCATCCACCCCAAATTCTATTTTTTTTTACAAGAAAAAGCAATGCTGGGAACACAAATAGCTTTTCAGATCGCACTTCGCATATCCAAATTAGAACTCAAGCGCTTATAACATGATCTGACCCATTTTCTTTCATTATAATTAGGAAGCTCTTATACAACATTAGAGCTTATTAAATAAGTACTTGACCAAAATGCCATAAGATACCTCTTCAAATCGTTGGATGCATAACAATCATTGTTATAAGTACTAAGTATGACAAAGTAGTGCCTTAACAATGTCATCCAAACAACTAACACAAGTGACCAAAAAGATAACTACTAGGTTGGAACTTTTGCAACAAAAGAAAAAACTAGGTTGGAAAAACATAGATATAACCCTACAAGCTAAAACTCAGAGCTTCTTCTTGGCCTATAAAATATCAACATTCAACAGTCAGCAAACAGATAGATCCATCAATTATATCCTCTTTTTCACTCCCTCGCTCTCTTTTGGCATGAATCATAGCATAATTAAAACAAGAAAATGGAAACTATGAATATGATAGCAAAGACTAGAATGGAAACTGAACCTGGTCAATGAGTGCATCAGTGATCAAATCAGAAGCAACTTCCCTGGACTCAGAAATAACTGCAAGATCATCAGTAACCCACTTCCTTGAAGTAGGAGGAGTCATAATAGTAGCAAACCTCTGCAAATCCCTAAAATCCTTATGCATAGCTTTCGCAGCCTTCTTCCTAGCCATGGCAAAAACCACATGATCCATAGAATCATCATTCATATAAACCTCAAAAGTAATCTCATCCTTAGCAGGAACGACCAAATTGTAAATCCTCGCAATGAGATCGTGTCTACTCTTCAACTCCAACGTGGCCAACAACCCTTGACAATACCTTCTACCACTAGCATAAAACTTGAAAGTTGTCTGCCCTTCTTTCAACAACAAAGGAGTATCATCACCGCCGTCACCGATCCCTAAAAGACTGAAATTCTTCTCGAATATTGAATCTTTCGCGGCGAACTGTGAAGCCCATGAAAGTGCTATGTTTTCGTTTTCCTTTTTACCGGTGAAGTAATTGATCGCGAACGTAATCAGAAAACTTCCGCAGATGATTTCAACAGTGAAGGAACGTGGAGGAGGCTTAACGTGATCGTTAGAGGAAGTGGTGGTGTTGTTACTATCGGTGGATTTGGGATCGGCGATTGGAACGTGTAGGTCAGGGTGTTGTTGTTCAGTGGGAAGACCTTCGAATTCATCGTCGTCCCAGAAATCGAAGGTTGTGGCGGAGGGAGGTGTGGATTTGGGAAGATCGGAGGGTGGAGAAGGAGTAGGGTTAGGGTTAGGGTTAGGATTGGGATCGGTGGAAAGAGATTGAGAGGGAGGTGATCGGAGTGAAGCTGGATCGATAGATGATTCTTCGAAATCGACTTCGTCGTCTTCAGCTTCGAAGCCTTCGAAGTGAGAATCGGAGTGAACGAAGGTGGAGAAGCATAGCGAGACGAAGAAGAAGAATAGTAGTTTTGGATTTGCCATGGAAATTTCCAATTGAGATTGGAAAGGTTTGTGGTGTGGTGTACTGGTGTTAGCTCTTTTAACTCTATGAAAGAGAGAAGTGCATAACTCCAAGGTTAATAAATTTACCCTAAAATAACAAATCCAATTTAAATTTAAATCTACTATCACGCTTCAAAAATAATTGTGAATTTTAATTTAATAGCAATTTTTACCCTTTAATTTTAATAAGTTTGAAATACATTAAAAAAAATTAAAACAAAAGTGTGAAGGAACGCAAACCTAGTTAAAAAATATAAATAAAAAAGAAAAAAAAACATTTAAAAAATGTTATATATAGAGTTTTCTAAACTAGTCGGTTTAATGTACCTCCAGCGTTTGGGAAGAGATTATCGAATTTTTTTTTAAACTAACCAAGTATTTCAAAAATAATACCAATTAAATGAGATTTTCAAAAAATTTATCAAAACAACAACCCTTTAACCTTCAGTCGCCAAATGAAATGACGAAATTGGCAAAATTTGGCTTTGTACTAACTCGCCAAACCAATTGGCGAATGAGGCTAAATCAACTTGGGCCGAAAGCAATCCGCCCTTCTAATTGGCGAAATAGGTCATTTTTAGGGTTTCCTATTTTTTCTTTATTTTTTAATTTTAATTATATTTTTAGTTTAATTGTAACTTTTAATAAATATTATGTAAGTTTATTCTTTTTAAATAAATATTAATAAACATTAAGTTTATTATTAAATTTATAAAGAATTTAAAAAATATTTTAATTAGATTTTTTTTTAAATTAGCTAAGTATTGTATACTATTTACCATATAAATGGAGTTTTCAAAAAATTTACGAAATCAACTACCATTCGTCAGATGAAATTAGTGTAGTTTGTGCAAAATCGCAAGATGAATTGGCGAATTAGACTTGCAGGATTAGGGTTTCCCTTTTCAATTTTTTTTAGTTTTTGTTGTATTTTGATTATTTTATTAATTCCAATTAATGTTTTAATGTATTTGATATCATTAATATTTTGGAACTTTTAAATATTATTTTGTTTTTAAACATAATTATTATTAGTAAACATAAATAGGTTTAAATAAAATATTAAAATATCTTAATTTATAATATAATTAAAATACAACAACAAAAATATTAATATAATGAAAATTACAAAAACAAAAAAAAACTAATGGTCGGCTCTATCCAAGCGACCACCGGTGTCACACTGTGGAGGATGCGCGTTGCGACGAAGTCTACGACGAGGTTGTTGTGGTGTGTTGGGTCGTTGTGTGTTGAGTTGTGGAGGAGGATGTTGTTGGGACGGCCCCGGCGTATCAGATAGATTTTGCATCATTTGACCCCAATAGTCGGGAGGTCCACTGTCAATGGCACTGCCGTAGTCAAGCCCAATGCCCATGTTTTCGAAGGATTGTCGAGGAGGTTGGGTGGAGTATGGACGGTATGGTTGTCCGAATGTGTACATGGAATTGGGTTGGTCTAGGTGTGTTGGTTGTTGTGGGGTGTGGTAGTCAAATAGTGGGTGGTTGGAGGGGTAGTTGGAGGGGTAGGGTCAAATGAGTTGTCTGGACTATAGGTGGAGGGGGTAGGCTCAAAAGACGTATCAGGATTGTAATGGTAAGGTGGTTGAGGCTGGGATTGGGTGGGTGGCATGTAAGGTTGTCGTTGTTGATAAGGGGTATTTGTTGGCATGTATGGGTTTTCGAAAGGCTGGTTTTGGGCACTGAGTTGTTGCTGTGGGTTTGACGAAGAATCGTGTTCCCTTGGGTCGGCCAAATAGGTTGGCTGGGACAGGAAAGGCTGAGATGTCGTGACAGACCTAAACCAAGTCATATATTGAAGACTTAGCCTAGCCCCATGCACAATACGGTCGGTTAAGACGTATTGCCTTCTTCTTTTCCAGTGTATATGCAACTCCTTCGCAAACTCCTTCCAATCACTGACATTCCACTGTGCGTCCACCCGCTTTTGATGCCATTGCCCCAAGTCCACCGGAGCATCTGGAATATCCTGATGCATCCCAAATTGTAGTTTCACTCGGTCACTTTAGTGCATCTCCACCGTAGTGAACCTAATTATGGGTGTCCTTGATGTCCACACAGCGGCATCGTCGGGGTTACGCTGGTGGTCGAGACCCTCGTACGGCATCCAGACAAACTACAATTAAGTTGGACAAATAAGTAAGACAAAGTTTGAAAGGTTTATGCATATACATTAAAAAAATTAATGGTAAATAACTTACATCATCTGGCCCAAGGTGGTCGATGAGGTTGCGGTATTGAATTATAGAGTGCCTAGGACATCTCTGATAATTCATCCCTGGAACAGACCATCTAAAAAAATAAACACATATAAATTAGCTTCTAAAACACATCTCAGAAATTACTAACTTAGACGAAAATGAAGTTGTGTTAATATTCTAGAAAAGAAACTCACTTGTTGGCGTACGGGAATGTAAAAGCATTCCGGTTTATTGGAGCAAGCGTCGGCATCCTAGACCAACCCCACGCTTGCAGGAGATAAGCACAACCATAAAAAGTACAGGTATTTTTTTTTGAAGTTTTGCAAAGGTCGCTATAAAGATGGGTGAGGACAGCTGATCCCCAACTATATTCACACACTTTGTTAATATTTTGCAATAACGGTAAATACATAGTATGGACGGTATTTCCAGTGCCCTCTGGAAATAAAAAATGACTAAACAAAATCAAAAGATAGCACCGTGTTTTGACTATTATGTCAAATGGAGTGCTATCATCAGTTAAGAGAATATTGTTGTAATGTTCTCTTAGGTATTTTAAATTAATTCCCTGACCCCTCAAGGGCCGTTGTTTTCCGCCTGAGGTGTGTCCACACAAAGAGAGGCGCCCAACAAATCTTCGTAAAGTCGGTCAAGGACACCAACTTTGCTGTTAACGACCTTACCATCGATGTGTAGGCCGAGCAACATGTGTACGTCTTGGAGAGTCACAGTACACTCACCAAAAGGTAGGTGAAATGTATGTGTCTCCGATCTCCAGCGTTCTAACAACGCCAGAATAAACTTTGTATCGAGCGAGTATGATGTGATTTTGATCACATCACCAAACCCACAATTTTGAAGGTAACCCGCTATGCGCTCGTCGTGTGGTATGTAATCATGGACACGACACCGAAACCTTGATACATCCTGCAAAATAATTAATGTTACATTAGACAAGAAGTAAAATACTTATCATTTTACTAGACAAGATTGTAAATATATCTAAGACTTAAAAACTTACAAACTCTGCAATGTTTTCAGCCGTGCCTCTATGAGAGTCGCCCATGGTGAGTAAAGACATTTTCGTTTGAGTTGTTGAGGTGTAGAGATGTTGAGTTGAGAGTTGAGAGTTTGAGACACTAGAAAGTTTAGGGGTTGAGAGTTTGAGACTTAGAGAGTTTGAGACTTAGAGAGTTTGGGGTTTGAGAGTTTTTTTCAATTTAGAGAAATCAGGAGTTTGAGACTTAGAGATTTTGAGGGTTTGAGAGTTTAAGTGTTTGAGACTTAGAAAGTGTGAGCAGAGTTTGTTGGGCAAAGACCCTATATTTGTAGTACACGAGAGAGTGTGCTGTAAATGCATGTTAGACAAGTGTCATTGATTATGAAGCATGCGTGACAAGTGAAAGGCAGAGATTCCTGATGTGTGTCATTGATTGTGAAGCATGCGTGACAAGTGAAAGGCAGAGATTCCTGATGCGGTATCACATGTGAAAGCAGAACTTTGCATTGTCACATCTTATCAAGTGTCCTGTTCAAGTCCTGATGCATGTCATTGATTGTGAAGCATGCGTGACAAGTGAAAGGCAGAGATTCCTGATGCAGTATCACATGTGAAAGCAGAACTTTGCATTGTCACGTCTTATCAAGTGTCCTGTTCAAGTCCTGATGCATGTCATTGATTGTGAAGCATACGTGACAAGTGTCCTGGTGCATACAAAAAGAGAATCGCGTAGGCCTGCATGCATGGTCATTGATTCGCAGGGTCACATGTGAAAATTACAGATTCATTTACTGATACATGTAAAAAAATCTTTAAACTCTTTAAACAATCAAACACTCAGACCATTTTATAAAGTCTTTAAACTCTTTAAACTCAAACACTCAAACACATTAAACACTCAGACCCTCAAACACGCAAACACTCAAACATTCAAACACTCAAACACTCAAACACCACAATTTTCGCTATGTCTCAAACACCACAATATATGATTTCCGCTCATCTGAACGGTGAAGTTTTAGAATGTGAAGTGTCGGGATACAATTTCAGAAACACGGATTTTACAAGATTTTTAATTGACAGAAGGTCTAATTTTTTACACCTGAAGTCAAGAATAGAAAAAGAACTGCAATGTGGTCCAGTTGGGCAAATAATATACAAAAACCCAGTATTTTTTGGCGGACCTGATTCATGCAGATTTTTCCCTTTAAAGGTGCGAGACGATGAAGATGTGCGTAACATGTTCCGCAGTCACGAGTATTCTGGGTTCTCAGATATCGTGTTATATGTTATGTTACAACAACAACAACTATCTCAGCAACTTGATTCGTCTCAAGTTTTTTGCGATTCTGAAGATGAACACCCTGAAGTCAATGTCGTTGACGAAGAAGAAGCAACTAAAGTCACTATTGACGAGATGGTGAACAATCCGGAGGATGAAGTTCAACCTGGCAATGTCTATTGTCCACCTCAACATATGACTACTATCACCTTAGGTGATGATGAACCCTCGACGGATGTTTTCTACAACCCCAACTACACAACAGAGGGGCAACTAAAAGAGGGTGACGAGTTTCGTACGAAAGAAGATTGTGTTCAGGCTATCAAACAGTTTCACATGGAGTTGTCAGCCGATTACAAAGTCGATCGGACAAATCCGACGCGGTATATGATCTATTGTCGTAACGAGGAGTGCCCGTTCCGATTAACAACATCTTTCAGGAAGAGAAGCGATTCTTGGAAGATAGGGTCAATGGGCCC